AAAAAAAAAAAAAGAGTCTCTTGTGGTTTGTTTCCCTCTCTGGTTTCGTCTTGTTTCATTTATTCCTCTCTTCCCCTATGATCCTCTGCCTTGTTTCTTAAATTCTACGTATCAGTGAGATCATAAGGGAATTGTCTTTCTTTGACTTATTTCACTTAGCATAATACCCTCCACTTCCATCCATGTTGTTGCAAATGGCAAGATTTCATTTTTTTTGAAGGCTGTGTAATATTACATTGTGTGTGTGTGTGTGTGTGTGTGTATACCACATCTTTATCCATTCATCTGTCGATGGACATCTGGGTTCTTTCCATCGTTTGGCTATTGTGGACATTGCTGCTATAAACATTGGGGTGCAGGTGCCCCTTCAGATCACTACATTTGTATCTTTGGGGTAAATATACAGTAGTGCAATTGCTGGGTCATAGGGTAGCTCTATTTTTAACATCTTGTGGAACTTCCATACAGCCACTCCACATACAGAGTGGCTATACCAGCTTGCATTTCCACCAACAGTGTAGAAGGGTTCCCCTCTCTCTGCTTCTGCACCAACATCGGTTGTTTCCTGACTTGTTAATTTTAGCCATTCTGACTGGTGTGAGGTGGTATAGCACTGACTTTTAAGGACAGATCTGCAGAGCTGAGGATGGTGTCCTCATGCCCTTAAGTGGAGAAGCAAGGACCCTCTGTTCTATTCTTAGCTGCTGGGAATGCCAGTTTGAACCTTCCAATTTTTGCCAGTATCCCACCCCAATTAGCATCTCTAAATAGTGTGTCTGTATTAATTCTTACTCTTAATTCTTCCCATCTATCCAGAGGAAGACAGAAATACTTTTCTGAGTGTCATATCTCCCATGCCTCTCTTAAAGCAATTTTGGAATATACATCAAGAGCTATAAAGACTTCATATCCTTTCACCTAATAATTTATAGGAATCTTTCTGAAGGAAATGACCAGATTCAGGTGAAGATTTATGCATAAAAATGCTCATGAAGTCATTATTTGTAATAGTAAAACCCTGAAAACAGACTAAAGACCAAACAGTGGGAAGTTAGGGCATATTCAAACATTGTATTTCTATATCACCATAATTTAGTTTCAAAGACTACACATTAATATGGGAAAATATGAAACTGTAAAAGCAGCATACAATATGCAATCTAATTAAAACTTTTAAAAAATGCATTTACACATACACATTAAAATTTTATGTTGTAACATTTAAAACATTAGAATGGTTGTAGATGGTGGGTTATGGGAAACTTTTATTTTCTTCTTCATACTTATATTTTCTAGTGGAAGCCAATATTTTTATAATAAGGAAAAAATGACCTTAATGGCCATACTTTTCATCCATCAAACCATAATACAGGTCCTAGTAAAGTAAAAACTTAGTTCTGGTTGTAGAATCTAAACATATTGAGTCTAACCTATTTTTAAAAAATGTTTTATTTGAGTATAGTTGACACACAATGTTAGTTTCAGGTGTACAACATACTGATTCAACTTCTTTCTATGTTATGCTATGCTTACCACAAGTGTATCTACCATCTGTCACCATACAATGCCATTACAATATTATTGACTATGTTCCCTATGTTGTGCCTTTTATTCTAGTGACTTGTTCATTCCATAACTGGAAGCCTATATCTCCCATTCTTCACTCATTTTGCCCACTCCCCCAACCCCCTTCCCTCTGTCAACCATCAGTTTGTTCTCTGTATTTATAGGTCTGATTATTTTTATTTATTCATTTTTTTTGATTCTACATATGAGTGAAATAGTATTAACCTAATTTTTGTATTTTTTACAGAAGGGAAAAATAATAAATAGCCTAATTTTGAAATGTCTAAATTTTATTTTTTATTTACTTAAAAGATTTTACTTATTTGTCAGAGAGAGAGAAAGAGAGCACAAGCCCAGGGAGCAGCAGGCAGAGGGAGAGGGAAAAGCAGGCTCCCTGCTGAGCAAGGAGCCTGATGAGTGACTCGATCCCAGGATCCCAGGATCATGACCTGAGTCAAGGGTAGATGCTTAACTGACTGAGCCACTCAGGCATCCCCTAAATTTTCTTTTTGATCAATATCATCTTGGTTCAACATATTGTGAAAAAAGAGAAACAATTACTAGTCCTATGTAAATAACAAAACATAGGATAGGTTTTACAGATTCCTACCTAGAATTCTTACCATGGTAGTGTCACCTTGGGCAATATTACCCTTGGGAGATAACAAGGTAGGTGCTGCTTTGGATGTTTGACCAAACCTTTGTTGAAAAGCTATAAAGCAAAGATTAGTTCTGAAGTAATGTTTATCCTCCCTACTTGTGGCTTGTTTCACTAGGTGGTCTTTGATGCCACTATTCTATTTGGAAGCCTGACCAGTTTCATAAACACTATCCATTTATCATACACAGACCTTCAAAGGCATAACAATTTGAAATACAATGTTATAGAATCATCTCATGGAAACTTAAAATGTCAGAATTAAATGAGGCTTTAGAGATCATCTAGCTCAGGAATTATAAAATCAGTAGGGCATTTGTTAAGAAAACAGTTCCCCTCCACCAAAAAAACTACCACCACCAAAAGCCCAAACAGCTCTCCCCACCCCCACCCCCAACAATTTTTTAAAAAGAGTATATGGAGCTATCATGGTTAGTATTTTTTCTCAATTTTGAAAGAGGCATGGGTTCAAGAAATATTTTGCTTTCTTTTTATCTGTATCATAACATAACCTGAGTTTTAGGGAGACAAGAGAAAATAGTAATGACCATGGCAAAACAAAGAGTAAATGCTCCCTCCAAAAGGGGCTGGCAGCTACTCAGCTCTAGCTAATTGTTCACATATGAAATTTATACGCAAACAATGAATCATGGAACGCTACATCAAAAACTAATGATGTAATGTATGGTGATTAACATAATAAAAAAAACAAACAAAAAAATAAGAAATTTCTCAAAAGAAGCCAGAAATCTGGATTTCTATGTGAAATCTCTTAATTTTAATTGCTGGCAACTAATTCAAAATGTGTGAAAAAAAGTTCTGCAAGTCAAGAAGACATGTCTGTTGGAGGAGTGGCTGTATCTTAGTTTGCAACCTTGCTCTAACTCAACCTACCTGGGGATGATGTATAAAATCAAGCTGAGTGTCCTGATTTTTGCTAGAAGTCACTCAGGCAACAGAACAGGGATCACAATTCAGATTTATGGTAATTACAGCTGGAGAATTCTAGTATTCCCCAGATAATTTCCTACATTTAGGTAGGTAAATATCCTATACTGTGTTAAATATTATTTAATGACAGATATAAAGGCATGTGGCTTCAGCCCCCAAATTAGAAAATGTAATGTAAAAGTATTTTCCACATAGCACATCCTACTCCACACCTAAATAATTATCAATAAAAAGTATAGATTTTGCTCATCCATAAAGTTTCAAAAAATAATTTTAAAACAAAACATGAAACTTCCCCATAGGTTTAAGTCTGTCATCTCTGCTTTAACAGTTCAAAATTTAAAGTCTTTAAAAAATACTCAGTATAATTATCAAAGAAGATGGGAAACATTGTTTTTCTTATGTTACATTTTCCTGCTTTGCTGAATTTGCAAAAGTTTGGCATAATTTTAAAAAAATCTAATATTGCATGCTAATCAGCTTGAGTAGTAAATCAAGTAGAAGATGTTAACACTTGAATTCTTTTAATAACAAACTGTTGACAAGAGAGTCAAAACTTTTGCCAAGTAGCTTCACATTTCAACATTTCTTTCACTAAAAACTATGCTTATTAAGGTGGAATGCCACTTGACTTTACTTTTAATTTTATAGTTCACAGGTAGGCATGCAAAGTAGTTTAGAAACAAATTCCTACTTAGGCAAATACCAAACAATGGGCACCACAAAGGCCCCCAAAGCTAATACATAGCATGAATTATAGGATCAGGTACAATACTAGCAAATGAACAAAGAGGCAATATGCAAAATACAATTTTTTAAAGGAAGCCTTAAGTAACTACCTTAGAATGATGAGAAGGAAGAAAGGAAGATGCACCAAAGAACACACAATTCATTAACATAGATTTGCACTTTATTGTAATTTTGCATCCTGAGATAATAAAATTTTATATCTGACAAGTGAACAACAGAAGCAGCAGTGAAAGTTTCAGAGAGGCAGGTGTCCTTCATTTTGGCACAGCTGTATATAGGTTGAGTTCTTTCAGGGGAGTCACTCTCAAACTTGGGAGAAAAATAAATTCATTCCACAGGCTATGTTAACAATACAAGATGCACGAATGTTCTTGGTTTGAATGGACATATCCACTTTTATTCTTTTCTGGTAAAGCTGTCCCAATAGGAATCCTCTGCCAAAAAGTAGAAATCCTAGGCTTTTCAAACAGGTGTTTTGATCATTGCCCATTTTCCAGCTACAAGCATTTCCTGTTTTTGCAGCTGAGATTCGTATTTGTATGTGGTTAGTCATGGAGGGCAAACTAGCTTGTAGATTATATAATTTCAGACATTTGTAATTTGTTCAAAGTTCAGGCATTAAAATAATTTTACAGTATCTGCTTACTAGAAAAATGGAAAATTAAGAAAATTAAGCCAAGATAAAAGCAACAAAATAAGCAGGAATAAAAGAGACATTTGAGAAATTATTGCCTAGACTCATAATGAGTTTAGACACAGAACTACTTTAAGACTCAGAAGTTGATATTTACTCCAATGCTAGAACATATAACACTTTCCGCATTTGCAATCCTATGTGTGTATATGTAATTTACAAATACACACTCAAATAAATTAACTCAGTTATCCCGAAACAGAAGAGAACAGAAGGCAAATTCTAACCTGAAGTTATATAGCCCAATCTAGCCAAAACACAGACACACACAGACACAGACACAGACACAGGCACACGCACACACACACACACACACACACACACACAGTCTGGCATTTCATTATTTAGGGACTGGGTAAGTAACTTGTGGAGAAGGTCAAATAATCTTAGTTCCTTTTTAAAAGTGGCTTCCAACATTTTCACCATAAGGATCCCTTTATTATTCCTTTTCCATGTTTTAAAGAATTTTATTTACTAAACTGCATGTGATAATAGGCTTTTTCATTCTTTTATTAATCAAAAGCAGAACTGTCATTCACAACTTCTGATCAGTGTGTGATAACCAGTGTTATGTTAGGCAGGATTGAAAAAATATCAACAAAATGCATGGAAATTCAATGTCTTAGTTGGTTTATGTGGCACGAATGTGGGTAAATGTATGATTTCTAGTATATGTTTTGAAATATTAAAAACAGGTTCAAGGATGCCCCCACTGCTATCTTTATCTGTCCCAAGTCGGGAACCACTGGTTTACATCCACCTGCTTTTCCTCCCTAAGTCAAGTATTAACATAACACAATTACTCATGTTAACATATAGGGCATTAATAACAAAATTTACTACAGATAAAATAGATTAAATACAACACTCATTCTGTAGGGTTTGAAAAAGAAAACATAACAACATAGACTTAAAGGAATCTATTTAGAAATTACAAAATTATGATATCCAGTATATCTTTCAGTCAACTTCAAAAGCACATTAATATATGAAAAAAATCCTCAATTCCCCTGTGAGGTAGGTCCAGATTATTGTCCCCACTTCCACAATGAGGACATGAGGTACAGAGGAATTAAGCAGCAGAGCTAAGAATTAAACCAGAAGTGATTTGGGTTTGAATTCCATACCACTTTTCTTTCCATCTAATATCAATTTTTTCCAACAGATCTTTTGAGGATATGGAACCTAGTAAGACACTGAAGCAGATATTGGATAGGATATGAAAACTTTTCACATCAATGTCAAAGTGGGTCCTCCCATATCTCCATTGTTGTCACAGTTATAATTCTTGCCTCGATACCAAATGCATAGTCAGATTCCACATATGCAAAGCCCACAGATCTTAGCCTTTAGTTCCTAGGGAAACTAAATTTATTTTTATTACCATAGAGGGGCTGAGGTCTAGCAGGTATCAGGTTCTTTGAGTCTGTGTGACATGAACACACATCAGCTAGGAGCCAGTTGGCAAATCAAACATTTACTGTGTGCAAGGCACTGTGAGAATTTCCACCAAGGGTAGTAGATCTGAGAAAAATCATTCTGGGATTCTGTAGACTAAAAATTTCCTAAGGATTCCTAGAATCACAGAATGTTAGTTTATCTCTAATTTTCTGTCCAGCCCTAGGTTCAACCCCATGATTTTACAGATGAAGAGACTGACATGTAATTTAAGTGGCTTGCCCAAAACCCATAATATTAGATCATTTCCTCATATAGTAAGAATTTGACAAAGTCCACAGGAAATGGAATATATTCTCAGGTTGCCATCATCAAAATGAAAAGCTGGCTCAGAATCAAAAAAGAGAAATTTGGGGCAAGATAAGGATATACATATCCTTTCTTTTTTTAGTCTCCATGTTACATGAACAAGTATTATTAATAAAATCTATTCCTTTTCTACGGAAAATTTCCCAATAGTTCACCATTTAAAGGAACCCAAACAATTGGACAACTGTTGCAAAATGAATTTTTTAAAGCAGAATTTTATAGGCATAAAGAGGACTTAACTTCAATGAATTTAGGCATGTTATAATCAAATTAGCAAAATACATTTCCATATGTGAAACTGCTCCAATTAAATGAGTGTATATAATTTCTATATCCTCTTGGGTCAACATAGTTAATTCTGATGACATGTTTGGGGCTTTATGTTCAAGTAGTGAGGTTTGATTTTAAGTGGTGGTTTATTTGTAAACAAAATTAAAATGCTAATAATTTTTGAAAGCTCTAATACATTTGGAAAAACCCTATTTGTTCTCAGCCTTAAAAATGTTATGAACATTCTTGTAACTTCATTCAAATTATGAAAAAATAAGAATACATTAAAAATGGTAGAGTGCTAAATGTTAACACAGATTAATTGATCACGTATTAGTGTTTATAGATCATAATAATATAAATAGTATGTACATTAAATACTTAAGTGGGTTTTGGTAGCGCTTCAATCAAAGACCATTGTTCTTCCAGAACCATGTTAAATTACATATTCACTAGCATTAGAATTATACCAGTTTTGTAAGTGATAGTCCTGTTCTGTAATATTTTATCACTAACATATATGATTGGGGGAAAACAAGGAAACAGTCTTTAAATAATAAATAGAAGAAATATAATATGCTAATGAAATAAATGAAATATTCTTATACTTGAAAAGGATAGTTTTAAATCTAATGATCTGTCAGTTCATCCATTCTGTTTCCTTCAACATAAAATGTTATCTTTGTTCAAAAAAGACAAGGCACTTCTCCATCTACTTCTAATGTTTGACTACAATGATCTCTTTCTTAAATTAATATCGTGGGTAGGAGGGAACAAAAAGTAGTTGAAAAAGGTTAGGCCTTAATTTCATTTTATACATAATTTAGGTGTTTAAAGGGGCACTGGGGATGGACATGTGTAATGGAAAGTTAGAGAAGGAACAGTTTTAACTTGTAACTTCAAAGCTTTGTGAGATTTATACACTTTGGCAAATACATGTTATTTTCTCTGGAACCTACCACAGCAGGTTTCATAAAAGAATATCATGTAACAAAGAAATTCACAATTAGTTTCTTCAACCTAAAAACAGCTTTCATAAAAATATTCTACTAACTTGATAGAAATATCCAAGTATGTTCTATCCTAAGGATAAAAGAAAAAAAGGTCAATGGGGGAGGAATTAATGACCACACAGTGTGCTTTGTCATTTCATCATTCACTGCTGCCAATTTCACTGAAAACACCCCCTCCAAAGCACTCCAGAATACCCAACTGCTAAATAGCCCCTTACATAGGAAAATAGTTTGAAAAAGCAGTCATATAAGAAAGAAAAAAGAAAACTGGGTATTATCTGAGTGGTTCAAGAAAATAAGATGAGTCAACCAGCATAATGAACAATAAAATAATAAATTTAAAAGCAATTAGAGTAGGTTTTTAAATTAAGTTTACAAATGCTGGCAAATTATTTTTATGACAAATACTACTGTAACTTAGGTTATATTCTGTCACCTTCAGATACACACTATTTTTGTCTCAATATTTGTTTCATGGAAACAATTCACCACTTCTTGCTGTTCTTTGAGCAAAACCAAGTGTGATTTATACATGGCAGAAAAAGTTACAATGAACAAATTCTAAATACACATGGCCAAATTCTAAATATACAGAAAAAGATGAGATTTTAAGGACTGACACTTAAAATTGTTCTATCACTGCTAATTTGAAATTTTGTATTATTCTGGAAATCAATTTTGGTATTAAACAGTCACAGTTTGAAGCATAAACCTGATGATATTAGCTGGAGCATAAACCACAGATACAATTTTTCCCTGACCTTAGCTATAAAACAAGACATTTGGTATGCATTTTCAGAGGTTTCCACCTTGTCTATAAAAATACATATTTAATTTTGCAGCAGACAGACAAATGGTATTTGCAGGCACACATATTAAAAGTTAGAGATTCCGGGTGGCTTGGTGGCATGGGGGTAATGGGACTCTACAGAGGGAGGTGGAAAAGTGTGCAAACAATTATAGTCATATATCAAATAGTGTCTCTTTTTTCCCTCTTCTTTTACTTGTCCAGGACTATGGATTTCAAATTCAGCATAAATTTTAAAAGTGACTTTTAAAATACTGGACTTTGTATGAAGAAATGACTATTCTCTTCACTGGGATAAATGTTTATCTAAAAAATTTTTTACTAAAAGTAGTAAGAGTAAGATGACAAATAGGATATTATTGAGTCTCAGATTATTTTAATTTATTTTTAGCAATAGGAATTACAAATTATGCCTATATACAGGCATACATTTGCAGTTGAATTAACACAACATAAAGCTTTATAATTATGTTAAAAATTCAAACTAAGTGTGGTATTCTCACTCATCTTGTGAAGAGAAAAAGAAAAAATAGGTACATATAAATGAAACGGCTACATGTGTGGGGAATTTCTAAACTAAAATACTTTAGTCTAAGTACTTGTCTGTCTAAGTACTTGTCTTTCTTCATTAATAATATCCAAATACGTAAAAAAGATTCTCAAAAAATAAAGAATATTTTTTATCAATTATGAACCAGCCACTATATATTCTTTAGGTACAGCTTCTCAATTAGCTCTCTCTCTTTCCCAGAGCAGAATATCAGAACTCCAAAAAGGGATTAGCAGTGGCTTTCATGAGGATCTAGACACCTCCCCAGACATGTGAAATCTTCAAACACTCCTTAAAGATCATAATTGTGTGCATTTTCAAATGAGGGAAAGGATACATAAAGGGAAATAAATAAGGACAGTGAAGCTGTGAAATGTGTCGGATGTCAAATGAATTTTTTGGAGGGTGGGAGTGGAGGACAACATGGGAATTACTGAATTAAATGAAAAACTAAGGTTCTTGGTTTCAGGTGCAATGCAGAATATCTCAGACAATGATTTCAATTTTAATCCACTCATTACAAAGGGCAATCCTGCCCTCCACCTGAAATTTTTAACAAACTCTTTATGGCTCTGCCATAAAATAGCATGTTAACAGTCTATACATTCAAAAGGATGCTCGCAAACTTCATTCATATTAAAATCTATGCAGATTTGTTGGCAATACAGTAAGAGTAATATTACACTCTGTAAACCATGGCATATCACATTTTATGTTATGCAAAGAGACAATATTTACAAGTCTTTTAAGAGTTTAAATATTTTATCCGCTAACATAAGTGATAATTTAGCCAAGTGCAGGACAAAACCAGTGCTATTAATTGCATGTCCTTTAAAAGCAAGTAAGAGTAAAACCATTTCTAAAAGCTACCAAAAGCTTATTTACTTATATCCAGGAAGGGATTACAGAGCATTAAGTAGCCTAGAAAAATGATGCATATTTAGAAACAGTGAGTATGAAAATAATAAGGCAGCATGCTCAGAACAAAATTTTGTTTTTGTTTTTTAAACACCGGCACTGATGTTTTATCTTTAGTGGCAACTATATATATACATATACGTCTCTGTGTATTTATTTAAAAATTGAGAGTGCAAAACACAAGCCTCATTTAACAAAAAAAAGATGTGCAAATTTTCTTCTTAAACCAACACAAATAAAACAGTAAGGAGAATATTCTAAAGAATAATAATAAGAAATAAAGAATAAGTTGAACACAGCAAAGGAGACCATCTTCATTCCAAAATCATCTACAAGGCACTAAGGGTAGGAAATGACAAGTAACACAGAAGTGACTGAATAAAATTCCTCAGTCAGGTCGGAATATGGGATATTTTGGTAAGAATTCTATTAGTATTACCTGTAAAATAAAAACAAACAAGAATATATTGACAAAATAATTTTCATTTACTAGAACATATATAACCCAGAAAGTCTATGATCATTTTTCACAGGACTCTACTTTGGTCCTCTAGTATTAAGTAAGTGAAATATATAAAACAGTTACAAAGAGAATTTACTACAAGTTATCATTAGATTGGCAATTAAATCAAATTGGCAAACATAACTACTTATTGTAGCTAACAGTTTCTATGACCTAATTTATAATAATTATTTGTTTAGGTGCAGAAAAGCAAGCCCTCTTACATTATTATCTCCCTCTACACCCCTTCTCCCCTGCCCCCTTTTTTTTTTGACAAAGTAGAAGGGATTAAAACTGTGCTATACAGATTAGAAAAAATACCTTTATCTATATATTTTTCAGTTAAAGCAGCTGATATTGGTTATTACTATCTTTTATAAGTTATTTGTAAAAAATAATGAAACACCCAAATGAATTGATTAAAACACTTTAATTAAAGACTGGAAATATAATAATAAAAACCTAAGATATTTACAAACTTATACAAATTTATATACTAAATTTATATTTAATATTTTATTTATAAATTTAATATGTAAATTTATAATATATTTATAATAAATTTATAATACTTTATATAAGGTTTTATCTATAGTGGATTTTAGATTTGTGGTCATTTGCACATTCTTTCCCCCTAGCTATTTAAAGTGGAGAAAAATAACATAATAATCCTTATTTATGATATAGAAATGGAATGTTTATATAGTAAATCTATATATGTCAGCAATTTCAAGCTTAGATAAATTTCATATTCTTTTGAATGTTTATGATGCTGAAGTTATCACATTGGTTATATGTAAATTTGTGTTTTGTGATTAAGACTGCACAGCTTTCAGTAAAAAAAAAAAAACAGAGCCTATCATTTCTTTATTGAAAATTAAGTGTTAGCTAAGACAAAAAGCCAGGAACATGAATTCAGAATTCAATTCCTATTTTATGCAAGTTTTGTCAAGATCACATTTAGAAATATTTTGTTCAACAGCAGCTGTGCTCATTACCATATGTGCTGGTCTGCACCTATGTGAAAAGAAGATTAAGGTTGTGCAATGTTTTCATTGCAGCATACTAGCTGAGATTTTTCTCAGATCTAAGTAATTACTAGCTTTCAAGATATTTTATGTTGGCTACAAATCTAAGGACGATGGAAGGAAACCTCTATGTTCCAAAACTGACAGAAGTTTAGGCTGAGGAGAAAAAAAACTGAGAAAGAATTGACAAATGATAAGCATAGTAAAATATAACATTTAGAATGGAATCCAAAGAAAGTAACTAAAAACAACTGCATACTTACATACTCCATCATATTGCTAGTTTCGCATTTCCTTTTAGTCAACTTCCAGTGCAAAGCAAGCTAAGAAAGTACAGTTAGGAATTTCGATATCAATTTATATTAATTATTACCTATAACATTTGAATAAATCACCGAGAACCATCCAGGAATAAGCATAAGACACATAAAATAGCGTTTAAAAGTAACTTGTAAAGAATATACATTAAAATTGAATATTCTCTAATCCATTCTTTCATGGCCTGAAAAATTCCCATTTTTTTAAATTTAATAATGCAAATATATAAGTGGGGCACTTGTTTGCTTAAACTTTCTTACCTTGTGATATAATCTGTTATTTTCCCATTCTAATAACTTCTGAATTGATCTTCTGGTCTAAGAGGAAGAATCAAGACTTTGTTACAAGATGAAGAACTTTGTAAACTATGTGTATATTTTTCTGCTTGTTTGTAAAATCCAATTATTTTCTCTTCCTGTTTTTCCATTAGAAATCAGATAAAAAGCAATGTAACTGACAGAAACTGTGAAAAGAAGAGTAATATTTTGAGCAATTATTATACTGTTATAAGATCTCTCTTTCTCCCTCTTCACACACCCACATCCATGTATATGGGATTTTAATATATGCTTTTCAAAATGAAATATGTACAAATTGTTCTGTGTTGTGAGTCCGTGCACTGGACTACTGTGAAATCATTACCGATACAGCTAGTAGTCCACTTATGGACCTAATCTTGACTTTCACATGTCTTTTCATAGGGTTACTTTTTCAATATACATGTAATATGCTAAATTAATCTGAATCCTCACAGGAAGTCTTCCTATAAGAGCTCCTAGCACAAATGCCTGGCATATAGTACTCAAGGTCTACAAGTTGAATAAAGCAAGCCAACATACATCAGAATTTCCACTGAGAAGAACATGTTAAAAACAGCTAGTCAGAAAACTTTATTTAGAGGAAAAAAATATAAATGAGAAGCAGCACTGTCCTAAACAAGGGGACAGAGACTGAATTTCTCTATTTTGTAGGGAGGAAGAAAAGGTTGCAAAACTTTCAAAAAATTAAAGTAAAAGATAACTATGCATTTTCAACTCTTATTTGGAAGAGTTTTATTAGGCTTCTGATAAAGAAGGCACTGTTAAATTTTAAAATTACTCCTCAAAATTGAATGATTTACCAACCCGTATCTGAAATGATTTCCAAAGCACCAACATAAGAAACTATTCTATTTGTTTAACTATGTTAGTTAACAATCAATGGCAATTGTATTCAGTTCATTCACAGTGGGCCAGAAAACAGCAACAATGCCAGCTAGAGTATCCCGTGGGGTTACTGTACTTGATAGAATCTCTAAACAAAATCAGATGGGTAACAAAGAGACTGAATTAGTAATTATAAATCTTTTCCCAAAGAAAACTCAGGCCCAGATGGTTTCAATAATGAGATCTACCAAACAGTTAAAGAAGAAATAATACCATTAATATAAACACAAACTCAACAAAATACTAGCAAACTGAATCTAACAACATATGAAAAAGATTATACATCATGACCAAGTGTAATTTATCTGAGGAACACAAAAATAAATTGCTGCAATACATCATATTAATAGAATAAAGGACAAAAATGATGTGATCATCTTAATAGATTTAGAAAAAAGCCTTGGACAAAACCCAATATCCATTCATGATAAAAATCCTTAAAAAACTAGGAATATATGTGAACTTCCTCAACCTGATAAAGGGCATCTATGAAAAAACTACAGCTAATATACTTAATGAAGAAAGACTGTTTTCCTCTTAAGATCAGGAAAAAGACAAGAATGTCTCCTTCCACTACTTTTATTCAACACTGTACTAGAAAGAATAGTGTGGGCAATTAGACAAAAATAAGAACTAAAAGGCATCCAGCTTGGAAATGAAAAAATGAAACTGTCTTCATTTGCAGACATGATCTTGCATAGAGAAAACCCTAAGGAATCTGAAACCATGCTCCATAGGGTTAATGAAGCTAAAACTGTCACCAGCAAGACCCTCACTGACTATCCCTTCTTCACAAGAATGTTAGCCTTATCTTTTAGAGGCAAACAACAGGAAGAGCTCAGGTAGGCTTAGACCAGTTTGAGCTTGACTACGGACTCACACCTGTGCAGATGGACCATGGAGTGTCTGACAGTAACTTCTACCTCATTATAATATCTGCCCAAGGAGGAATACAAACCTCATTAGCATAACATACAATGCATGTACAGGCATATTTCCTAAATATGTGTATATGACCTTACACCTCTACATGCAATGACAAATCCCCTCCCCCCTTTTCCGAATATTCATCCTATCCCTAAATAAAAGAAATCTATTTACCCCCACTCAGGTGTCATAGCTTTGGAAGTTATTCCCCATGATTTCCTTATTTGTTGAAGTAAAGTTTTGTGTGACAACTCCACCTGATGTAGTCTCTATCTGTAATTTACCAAGGAGTGAACTCACTTTAGTTATTAGGTTACAAATCCACTAAAACATTACTAGAATAAGTTCAGCAAGTTTGCAGGAAACAAGATTTTGATAGGTAGAATTCTGGCTCCCATGATCCTCACCTCCTGGAGTTACACCTATGAATATGTTACATTATGTTGCAAAAGGGATGTTGCAGATGTAATTAAAGTTACTAATTATTTGGCTTTAAAATAGGGGGAGATTATCCTGGATTGCTTTGGTGGACCCAATGTAATCTCAAGGGCCCTTAAAAGTAGAGAACTTTTTCTGGCAGATGGAAGGACAGTCAGAGGGATCTGAAGCAAAAGAAGAACTCAAACCACCATTGCTAGCTTTAAGACAGAAAGGGCCACATAGAAAGTATAAGAAAGAAATGATTTCTGCAAAAATCTGAGGGAGTTTGGAAGCAAATTCTTTCCCAGAATCTCTAGAAAGGAATACAGACAGCCCTGCCAGCACCTTGATTTTGTCCTTGTGAGATCCTAATATGAGAACCCAATTGAGCCATGCCCAGACTTCTGACTGTGAAATAATAAAAGTTATTGTTTTAAACCATTAAGTTTGTTACACTAGATAGAAAAATAATATGAGGCTCAACCCATAAAAAATCAATTGTATTTGTATACACTAGTAATGAACAATCTGAAAATGAGAGTAACAGACCATTTACAATAGAATTAAAATATTTAGAAATAAATTTAACAAAAGTATAGACTTGTAAATTGAAAACTAAAAAAAAAAAAACTGCTAAAATACATTAAAGAAGAGGTAAATAAATGGAGAGATATCCTATGTTCATTAATCAGAAGACTCATGAAATAGCATTCACAACAATGGTGCTAGGACAATTGGATATCCAAAAGAAAAATTATGAACTCAGACACCTATCTCACACCATGCACAAAAATTAACTCAAAATGGATCAAAGACCTAACCATAAGAGGTGAAATTTTAAAACAATTATAAGAAAACATAGGAGTAAATCTTTGTGATCTTGAGTTGGGCAAAGCCCTCTTAGATTTGATGCAAAAAGTACAAGCAAGAAAAACTTAAAAGTGATAAATACAACCTAATCAAAATTAAAAATTTTTGTGTGTCAAAGATACCATTGAGAAAGTGAGAGCCCTTCCAGAATGGCCATGTGAGGACCTTAGGGAAATCTCTTCCTTGTAGAAACAACTATTAAATTGATCAAGTATTAGCAAAGGATACTCAATCAAATGTTCCTGAGATTGATCAAAAGGATTATAACAGATTGAGAAGTATTTATTCAACAAAGTTATGGACAATAGCTAAGAACATTAGGAGGCCTTGGTAATGAAGTTAGGTAATACTCCCACATCTCCATTGCTCTGCCTCGCAGAAGAACTATTTTAACAAGCTTGGGAGCTGTGTGGCAGGTGGTTCCTGATAGCTCCCAGCTCCCTGGAGTGAAACTGCTTTCCTGGGTAAGGGCAGCATCCACTTTCCTACTGCCAACTTCTGCAAAATAGGCAAAACAGTTGGTGAAGGGTGCAGTCCCCCTTTCTGGCACATATCTGTATTGTGGGAAAGCTGATATACTTGGCTTGACAACTGAGTGGCAGTTCCCATCTTCTCAGCTTCCTAGGGCAGACATATTCTGCATTGATTTGACAGATGGTGAATATTAGCAGATCCTACACTCCATGGCTCTGGGCTAAAAAAAAATCCACAGCTAATATCATACTAAATAAGAAAAAAATCATAAATCATAAAATTATACCAAAAACTGAAAGCTTTTCCTCTAAGACAGGAAAAAGACAATGATGCCCACATTTGCCACTTCTATTCAACACACTACTGGAAATTCTAGACAGGTCAGTTAGGCAAGAAAAGCAATAAAAGGTATCTAAATTAAAAAGGAAGAAGTAAAATTATCTCTATTTGCAGGTGATATTATCTCATGTGTAGAAAACCCAAAAGAATGTACAAAAAAATCTGTTAGAGTTAAACAAATTCAGCAGTGTTTCAGGATACAAAATCAACATTCAAAATTCAGTTGCATTTCTACTTTTTAAAAGATTTTATTTATTTATTTGAGAGAGAGAGAGAGAGAATGAGCCAGGGGGAAAGGCAGAGGGAGAGGGAGAACCAGACTCCTTGCTGAGCAGAGAGCCTAATATGGGGCTCGATCCAGGGACCCTGTGATCATGACCCGAGCTGAAGACAGATGCTTAACTGACTGAGTCACCCAGTTGTCCCCCAAATTCAGTTGCATTTCTATATGATAATGGTAAACAATTCAAAAAAGAAATTAAGAAAATAATTACATTTACAGTAGCACCAAAAAGAATAAAATACTTAATAATAAACTTAAGCAAAGAGGTGAAAGACGTGTGCACAGAAAACCACAAAGCATTGCTAAAAGAATTTAAAAACCTAGGGGCGACTGGGTGGCTCAGTCATTAAGCACCTGCCTTCGGCTCAGGTCATGATCCCAGGGTCCTGGGATCGAGCCCTGCATCGGGCTCCCTGCTCTGCGGGAAGCCTGCTTCTCCCTCCTCCACCCCCCCGCTTGAGTTCCCTCTCTTGCTGTGTCTCTGTCAAATAAATAAATAAAATCTTAAAAAAAAAGAATTTAAAAATGTAAATAAATGTAAAGACATCCTGCATTCATGGATTAGAAGACTTAATATTGCTAAGATGACAATATTATCCAAAATGATCTATAGATTCAATGCAATCCTTATCAGAATCCCAGTGACTTTTTTGTAGAAATAGAAAAACATCCTAAAATTCGTATGGAATCAAGAAACCACGATTTAGGCAGCAATCTTGAAAATGAAGAATATGAAGGACTCACATCTCCTGATTTCATAACTTAATACAAAGCAATGGTAACAAAAAAAATGGTGCTG